GTTACATCACTCTCCTGGAAAATTGCAGGAAAAGACAAAATCTTTGCCCAAAAGTTGGTTATCTCCCCTATAGCAGTATAAAGGCGCCCTGGGGGGCAGTGGTTGAAGAACTCAGCTTCAAGTCAAAAGATAAGTGATTTGAACTCACCAGCTGCTTCGCCAAAGGACAACAGGGCAGTCTGCTGCTGGGAACAGGCTAGCCTTGGGAAAATCCGTGCGGCAGTTCTACTCAAACAGGATTGCTTTGAGTCAAAATGGAGTCATTCGGCACCGGGCTAGGTTTGGGTTGGGCAGCAGGAAATACTTTGCGGAAGATCCGCCTGTTGCTCCGGATGTTGAGGAGACTGGGAATGTTTGCCTTCACTAATTGCATCCCCTAACAGTTCAGAACCTTTAGAGGCATTAAGAGAAAAGGGTTATCAACCCTTTACGGAGTAGTTTCAGAAAAGAAAACAAAGACCACATATTGTGATTCCCTACAGTTGTGGTTGTTAGGTGCCTTCAAGTCAGTTCCGACTTAGAGTGACCCCACGCCCAACAGAGCATGACGTCACTGGTCCTGCACCATCCTCACAATTAGTATTATGTTCAGGCCCGTTGTTGCAGCCTTATGTCAATCCATCTTATCCCAGGCCTTGCCCTTTTCACTATCCCTCCACTTTACTAAGTATGATGTCCTTCTGCAGGGACTAGACTCTCCTAATAATGTCCAAAGTACATGAGACAAAGGCTTGCCATATCTAGGGAGCATTCTGGCTGTACTTCTAAATCAGTTGTTTGTTCTTTTGGCAGTCCATGGTACTTTCAGTATTCTGCTCCAACACCATAGTTCAAATGCATTCAATTTTCTTTAGTTTTCCTTATTTAATGTCCAATTTTCACATGCATGAGGCCACTGAAAATATAATGGCTTGGGTCAGGCACGCCTTTGTCCTTATATTGCATCCTTGACTTTCAACACTTCAAAGAGGTCTTGTACAACAGATTTACCCAATGCAATGTGTCATTTTATCTCTTGACAGCTGCTTCCATGAGCACTGATTATGGATCGAAGGAAGATGCTGTTTATTATATTACCTATTGGCCCAGTTGTGAGGATTTGAGTTTTTTGTTTAATAGTTGTGATTTAATGCATACATCATATCACTCCATATTTCAATCACATCAAGTAGAATTGTATAATTGTTACCACATTTTCCAAACACTCTTTGGACTCCTTGACATTGTCTCCATTGTCTCCCCAAGATCTTCTCTTCCAACTACCATTCCTTTTGCTTCTAACTTTTGCATTTCAGTCACCAATAATTGTCAATGCATCTTGATTGCAGGTCTGAGCGATTTCAGACTGAAGATTTGGGGAGAATTCAATTTGTGCATCACTAGCTTCAGTTGTTGCATAAATTTGAATAATAGTTGTATTAATTGGATTTATTTGCATATGAAGACATTATCCTATCACAGACTACATTGTGCTTCAAGAGAGATCTTGAAATGTTCTTTTTGATGATTGATGCAACATTCCTATTGTAATTCCAGCACAGTAAACATATGCATTTCTGACTCAAAGTGGCCAATACCAGTCCAGTTCAACTCATTAACCCTACAATATGGACCTCTATGCTTTCCATTTCATTTGTAATGGCTTCTAATTGTCTTCGATGCATGTTTTCTACATTTCAATCTCTACTGATGTTTGCAGCTTTTTCTTCTCATTTTGAGTTGTGCTTTATACAGAACCGTACACTTCCAGGATGTTTTTCTTTTAAAGCAATTACACTTTATTTTCTAAGTTAAAAATCTCTTAAGATAGGTTTTAGTCTTTTTTTTTTTTTAATAACCATGAGTAAGCCTGGTATAAAACATGAGAGCTACCATAATTCTAATTTTGTAATCTACATAACATTTCTAGATTCCTAAAAGTAAAGTAGTATAATTTTAAAGGACTGCTTATGCTTATGTACACAGCCATAAACATCACTTTTACTAAATATTAATTTATGATTTGGTGCAGCTATTATATTAGAATCAAATTGTGGATACAAATGGCTTAGTTTACTAGGTAACTAGTACCTAGACAGGAGTCCTGGTGCCATATTAGGTTATACGTTGGACTGCTAACTCTAAGGACTAGTCCAAACCACCATGTGCTCTTCAGGAGAATCATGACTTTCTGCTCCATGAAAGAGTTAGTCTGAGAAACCAAAAAGCAGTTATATCCTGTCCTATAAGGTTGATATGACCAGAGTTGACTCAAAGGAAATGAGTTGGATTTGAGTATTCAGACATCATATTTTAACTCTAAAAAACCATCATTAGACACATTTCCTACTTGATCATTGTCAGATAAGTTTCAATCTCACATTCAGTGTAAATCTACCAAGGGCTCCATGCCTTGTCTTCACTATCAGTGAAAACCCAATATTCTGCCAGATGTGTCAAATAACAACTCTCATCTGTCTTACAGTTTTTAAAAAATCATTTTATTGGGGGCTCTTACAGCTCTTATCATAATCCATACATCCATCCATTGCATCAAGCACATTTGTACATATGTTGTCATTATCATTCTCAAAACATTCTTTCAACTTGAGCCCTTGGTATCAGCTCACAATCCACACCCCCACCATGAACCCATGATAATTTATATATATTTTTTCCATGCCTTACACTGACCATTGTCTCCCTTCACCCACTTTTCTGTTGTCTATCACCCTAGGGAGGAGGGGTATGTGATGTCGATCATTGTGACCAGTTCCCCTTTCTCCCCCCACCATCCCCTTACCTTCCTGGTATCGCTACTCTCATTATTAGTCCTGAGGGGTTTATCTGTCCTGGATTCCCTGTTTCCAGCTCTTATCTGTACCAGTGTACATGCTCTGATCTAGCCAGATTTAGAAGGTAGAATTGGAGACATGACGGGAGGGGGGCAGGGAGAGAAGCATTACAGAACTAGAGGAAGTGTGTGTTTCATCAGTGCTATATTGCACCCTGACTGGCTCATTTCTTCCTTGTGACCCTTCTGTAAAGAGATGTCCAATTGTCTATAGATGGGCTTTGGTCTCCGCCGGTCTCCAGTCTGCCCTCCCCCTCATTCACGTCGATATGATTTTTGTTTGGGGTCTTTGATGCATGACACCTGATCCCACTGACACCTCATGATCACACAGGCTGGTGTGCTTCTTCCACGTGGGCTTTGTTGCTTCTGAAGTAGATGGCCACTTGTTTATCTTTAAGCCTTTAAGACACCAGATGCTGTATCTTTTGATAGCCGGGCACCATCAGCTTTCTTCACCACATTTGCATATGTACCCATTTTGTCTTCAGCAATCATGTCATTATACTGTTACTTTTATTTATCATGTTTGCTGTAGTTCAGATGCAGGTTGTAATCAACTGATAATTACAAAATGTATTCAAATAACAATTACAAAAATTAGTAATACTCTGTGTCAAAAAGGATGTGGCACAGCCACTCACAAATATTGGAAGTATGAATTGGCAATCATTGTGAACCTCACTTTGGAAATAATTAACAAAGCTTCCCATGAGCCTACTACCTAGTAGTAGCAGTAAGTTACTTCTTAGTAATACCTAGTATAAGTTTCCCTTGAGCCTACTACCTAGTAGTAGTAGTTACCTACCTAGTAAGTTCAAGTGCAGACTTTCCCAGCAGAAATATCAACACAAGTAACCCAAGAATGACACGATGAATGAAATTGCTTGAAATTGTGAGAAATGAGCTGAATCTGTGTAGAAAAGCAGTTAACACTGCAGGCCTGAGGTTGCTACACTTTAGAAAGGATTGCTTTACTTGGTCTTTGGCTGATGACTAGGAACCTGAGAAAGTTTAATATTGAGCCCTGATATTAAAGCCTTCCCTAAAGGGTAAGAAGAGTTCATTGTGCCTACACTGCTTGTACAAGCAATAGCATTTATGCTGAACTTCCACTTTCCTTTGGAGAGTCTGGAATTCTGAGAAAAGGATGCCTGCACAGCCAGCCTCCAATTAAAAAAAAATGGGAGCAACAAATCTCTGATGAGCACCCCTACCGGCTAACACTTCACACTCATCACAACTGTTACTAGAGGGTGTGAGCGTGTCCCGTGCCTCCACTGGGAGAGGACTCTTGGGATCTTGAGCCTGGTTTCCTCCAGACTTTGCCCATGTGCCTGGCCTTTTCACTTGTCTGGTTTTGCGTTGTAAGTTTCTCAAAATCCAAAACTGTCATTGAATCAATTCTGGCCCACAGTGACTCTACAATGCCCAGTGGGTTTCTAAGACAGTAAATCATTATCTTTCTCCCATGGAGTGGCTGGTGGCTTCAAACTACTGACCTTGTGGTTAGCAACCCAACATGTAACCAACTGTGTTGTGATAAATCTTAATTGTGAGTGTAATGCTCTGCTGAGTCCTCTCAGTGAATGAACCTTGGTGTGGCCTTGAGACACACCCTGACATAGAACCTAAGGTCCTACAAAAGGATTTCTATTTAGCCTTCACATCTAGATTTTAAATTCTTGAACAATGCTAGAAAAAAGTAAGAGTATAATGAACTGTATGATAGGTAGAGCAGTCACACAATGTGGAAGGGGTAAGTTTATGAAAAGATAGGATAAATCTGCATCTAAATATGATACTCAAACGATGTACTGTTTTCAAAAAATTCATGAGAAAATATTATTATCTTTTCATTGCATTTTCCACAAACTTTTTGAACCTCCATATATGAAAGCATATATAAACATACATGCATACATATATCCACATATACCATCTCCTATACACCTTAGACCAAAAGGAGTTTTAAAGCAAGTATTAAAGAATATTCAATTGATTACAGAAATAGTAACGATGTTATGAACTTCCTAAGTTAACAAAATAATTTATATGCTTGAACTACTAAGTTGTATGATATGTGGATTCTGTGCCAATAAAACTGTTTAAATGATAATAATGTATCAATCATGTAAATTTTCATGTATAAATAAAATAAAGCAAGTATGAAAAAACTCTTTATTGCACTTGATGATACAACAACAAAAATAGTAAACACACAGCATGAGTAAATCCATGACCAAAGTATAGATACAAAATAACTACCATCTATACTCAAGTATCAGCCCAGTTTTTCAGCACATTTTTAATGCAGTTTTTTGTGGTAAAATTAGGTGCCTCGGCTGATATTTGGGTTGGTTTATACTCGTGTATATATAGTAGTTACTTGCATGTAATAACAATTAACATTTCAAGTAAAAATATTTTAAATAAAATGACATAAAATCATACAAAAATGGTACTAAGTACAATATCACAAAAGACATGGGAAATATTAAATCCGCAATTGGCATTACTTTTTCAATTACATTCTAACTCTGATTTGTATCTCCATGTATGAAGATTTTATAAAAGAAAATGGTAAAAGTAAATTTCAAAGTAAATTCTCATTATAATTCTTTGCACTTTTTTCCAAAAACTGTCAAGATATTGCTATTTCAAAGAAATAACCTACAATTTCCTAGAAGAGTTATTTTTAATACTGGCATTCTTCCTGTTAAAACACACCAAATATACATCTTGTTTTTTGTCAGAAATCTAAAAATGTTAAACTCTATACCAGGTCCTTGGTTCAGTGTTTTCCTTTCCTCTTAGGTGCAGTGAATGCTAAAGACAAAATTTAGAAGTCTATTAGTTCCAAACAATAGTACTTACTTGATACGATACATTTAAACAACACAGAGGTTTAATCAGTGTAACACGAATGTCCTCATAGCAAAGATCCAGGAAGAAATCTTAAATATAGTCATATACACGAATTTTTCCTTCAAAATAAGATTCATGTTGAAAACTTCCTCCTGCAAATCCGTGTCATGCTAAATCCTACATAAGCTTTCGACGATGCATCATCTCTAATTGTTCAGGCCCGGGGTACCAGATACATAGGGATGTATGTCAGTGCTATTGGGCATAAAGTAAATGATTAAGATTTCCAATTTCATTTCAGTTAAATCTGGAAATATAATTCAAAACATTAGCACCACTCAATTTCCTAGTTACCACAGCAACTGCCATCACACATCATCACTAGTTACCACAGCAACTGCCATCAAATAAATGCCCACCTAGAATTGGCTGTAAATTTAAAAGTTATTAAACATTAAAAGAGAGAGAGAAAACCACGACAGTTATGACAGATGCACAGAAAATAAATATTCCCCCCCCAGGAAAAACTAGAGCGGAAGCAGGAAAAGGCAGATGAAGAAAAAGACATCCGAGTCCTAGGTGACAACCAGCCGACCAGGAGAAGCCACCACCCAGATTACAGCACGGCGGAGAGCCGGGGGCCTTTCTCAACGAAGATGAAACTGAGAGAAGAAATGTGCCTGAACGCACCGTGTGGAGATTTACACGGCTAAGGGAGAGTCTGGGAATAACTTAGTGAAAAATACACAGAAAGACAATAAATTTTAAAAGACAAAAATAAAATGCTATTGACTTTCTATGGAAAATGAGGTCGTAGATACAAGGGTGAGCCACAGTATATTACATGGCCCCCACTGTCAACAGTGCTGTCAATGCTCACTGTGCATGATTCTGGAATAAGTACACTGGGAAGGTAAGGGTGGGGAGTATGCATGTTTGAGTGGGAAGTGAAGAATATATTAAAGGCTAAATACTAAAGCCTCACTTTCTTCAAAAAAGAGGGAAGTAATTAAACACTGCATTGACGCAGAAAGAATAATAATAGGAACTGAAAGATGAAGCAATATAAACATATCGAGAGACATGAAAAAGTACCAAACAAATCCATTCACAGCTCAGAGTGGCTGTCTCTGAGGAGTTAGAAATGAGAGTCAGATAACTGTGCTTTTTTATAATGAGGATTATAAAATTATTTGAATCATGTGCACATATAGTTATGATTGTTATCAATGAAAATAAAATGTCACCAAATCACAAGCTGATAGATATTGGAATGTGACTTGTCAGGGAGCTACAAAGGTATTGTGGGTATTCAAATGTTAACTCACACCAAAAAAAGCCGTTAGTCAAAATGAGAGCAAAGTTATGGTGTAAAGCTCACCATAAGACGATAAAGCACTCTATGCTGATATCAGCAAACCCTCGGGTTTCTGAATGAATAAATCTTCCCTTTCAATGGTCTCTTTATCTCAGCTCCTGTGTTTCAGGAGTACCCTGTTTCTCTTTACCAGCCAGTTTTCCTTCACAGTGGATTACAGAAGGCCCTTGGGGGCACAATATGATCTGATTAATTCCACGAGTATGAGGGGGCTCCTAAAATGGGGTTAGAGCTCATGGATTTTCCCCCACAGACTTTCTGAAGCCCTCTTGTATTCACTCACACCGACTTCAGGCCCAAGACTGCGCTCAGATCTCTGATCACTGCGATCAAAACAAACATGGCAAATACCGTGATCATCCTGTACCTAGCTAGGTGCCTGATAAACACTCAGTAAACACTTACTGTATGAAAAAGAGCCGAATGAAAAAACGCATACGTATTATTCTTAATACACTTTATACGCAAACTACAGAAAATACACTATTGTTTAACAACAAACAAACAAAAAACAACCAGTGCTGTTGAACCAATTCTGACTCATAGCAACCCTACAGGACAGAGTAGAACTGCCCCCTACGGTGTCCAAAGATACATCTCTTTAAGAAAGCAGACTGCCTCTGAACTACTACTGTCCTTGCCACTGACAGTGGAGTGCTACAACCACTGCAGCACCAGGGAGCCTTATTTATCATCTCTACAGTCCAATTATGAGAACTACAACTTTAAAAGGTTAACTATTTTAATCTATGCTGTGCAATAGTCAATTAGTTCCTTACAAGCATCATTACATAGGTGATATTTTCACATTTTATTAGTAGCTGAATGAAGTTTTTTTTTGTAAGTGGTTTTAAATATTGAAAATACATATTTTATAAATCTTTTCATTTGATGGAAATATATTAGCTGTTCCCTTAAGTATATTCATTTACTGACAACAATGGTGCCTTATCCTTCATCTCTTACCTCAAACTGCCTCCACATCCACTCCTTTATTGCATGCTCCTCCCTTTTCACGAGGTGCCCTGGTGGTGCGGAGGTTGCGAGTTGGGCTGCTTACCACGAGGTCAGCATGTTTAACCACCATCAGCTGAGAGGGAGAAAGCCAAACCTTTCTCCTCCCACCAAGAGTCACAGTCTCGGAGCCTCCCAGGGGCCGTTCGAGCCTGTCCTAGGGTTGCTATGGCTCAGAACTGACTTGATGGCAGTGTGTTTGCGTCTTTCTGTGTTCACTTATAACTGTCATGATGAATGCTACGGTTAATACTAAAGTTGCCCAATGTGCCAAATATAAAGCATCACAAAGACACGCTGTCAACTGTCGCGTTCTGCAGAGGCTCTGAGCCACGTTTCCTCCAGTAGTGGGACACAATTTCGTCTGTACCTGCTCTACGAGTTTCGTCCTCCTCGTCCTCTTCTTCTGTGATTATTGGCATGCTCAGCCCTAACGATCTGTCTCCTTTGGTGGCACGCTTCATGTCACCTGGAAATATTTAAATAATGATTTCATAAGAAAATGAAGAATATTAACCTTTGAGAAAACTTTTCACTCAAATTAAAAATGTCATTTTTACTGTCACATAAAAAACAGATGTTTATAATGAACACTGAAATTGTAATAGAAAACAGGAATATGCATTTCAGAGTACATACCTTTTTAAAAAATAATATATTTTTATCTATGCTTTGAAAATTTTAATCTCTAATTTTCCAATGAAGTAAAGAAAACGGAGGTGGAGGGAAGAAATAAAACCATCAAACACAACTATCTAATCAGTCTCTCACACATAATAGATAGCAGAGATATCAGAGAATAAGGTCTGTGACTTTACCTTTATTGAATTAATCACAAATATAATTTTAAAGTTAATTGTCTTGTTTTTGAATGCAGCCATACCTTCTCGTCACTAGGAATGTTCTACAAGATAGATGTATTTCTCGAATTTGCCAATGACTTTTCATTTGAAAAAACACTGTAATTTTTTTTACATCAGTTTGCTGTGGCCTGAAGAAATACACTAGTCAAAATTGCCAAGTACTACTGTGACATCACATACTGCTTAGTACAATTTCCATGCCCCGATAACCATGCCTCCACATATCCAAAACCCCAAACCCCATGCAATGCCATCGAGTTAATTCTACTCACAGCAGGCCTGCACAGGGTCTTCGGGGCTGCAAATCTGTACAGGCACAAACAGCCTCAGCTTTGGGCTGGTGGGTTGGAACCCTGCATTGGCAGTCCAACCCTTACCTGACAGAAGCCCCACGCACAGTCCCTCTCTATCGTTTATACCGTTTTATTCTCCACACTTTTACCACCAGACACACTCTGTCTTCTTTGGTGTCTATATGGTGTCTCCTTTCACTAGATACAATACACACTCCACAAGGGTGGATTTTAGTTGGTTCACTTGATGTGCTCCTAACAAACTTAGAAATGTATCTGGCATATGGTTTCAATTATTTTTACCTATTATTTCATAGAGCAAATGTGTTAATAAGTTATCTGCCAGCACAGAAGGCATCAAACCAAGTGAAAATGATTTTAAGCCTTCTGCTCTGAGCACAGATATGCTGGGATTTCACTGGGTGCAGAGCTAGGCATGGCATGAGCAGAGTCGGCCAAGATGGTGCTGAGAAAACAGCAGTAATAGGCTTCCATTTTAAACACAATTCAATGTAGTGTCAATTTCCTGTTATGTCATTAAAATAGCATTCACCTTTACTTGTAATTCCTCAGAATTACTTAAAATATTTTAAGATGATAGGTTTAAAAAAAAGATTCTATTTATACCTTAGTATCTATATTTAAACTTTGAGCCTATAATTCTTGTGTTTCACAAAATCACAATCAGTAGCATCTACCCCAAAATTACCAATATTGTCTTTTAGCCATGTTCCCCATATCAATTATTAATGCTTCTTTAAACCTATATTTACAATGTAATAGAATCTATCCAGTCGAGTCTGATGGGGTGCCACACTCTGCCTCCAAAGTCTATTTTTGGTATTCGTGGGGATTTCCTCACTTTGTGCTCCAAGCTACTTTGTTGCATTCCCTTAGTGTTTCACCCCAGTGCTGGGGTCAGATTGTGCACTATTCCCATACTGTGTCTCCAGTGTTGTCCCACACAGCACTATGGTTTAGTGAGGGACATCGTGTCTCAGGGTGGGGGCGGCCCTATGGTCCTCTCTGTGGGTTGTCTGCTCTGAGCAGGAATATCGTCCTTGGGGCTTGGTGGGCCAGGATGTCCTCTCCTCCCTCTCTATCCCTTTGCGTTCTCCTATGTGACTTGACTGGAAAACACTCGTAAAGGCCAACAAACAGACCTTGAACTAAAAAAAAAAAGAATCTACCCAACAATGTCAAGAGTAAGATTTCTGTGTTAAAAACTGACATTCGGGGGTTAAAGCTTAATAAGTTAAGTATAATTTCGGAATCTATTTCTATATTAATTTTTAAAATCTTTTTATTGGGGGCTCATACCACTCTTATCACAATCCAAACATACATCCATTGTGTCAAGCACATTTGTACATTTGTTGCCATCATCATTCTCAAAACATTTGCTTTCTACTTGAGCCCCTGGTATCAGCTCATTTTCCCCTCCCTCACGACCCCTAGATAAATTATAAATTATTATTGTTTTGTCATGTCTTACACTGTCTGTCTGATGTCTCCTTTCACCTACTTTTGTATATTAATTTTTAAAATAAAAAAATCATTTCTTTAATAGCTTTCAAAACATAGCCCCCCAAAAGCCCACATACAATGCCTCATCCAGCTATGATGCCAGAAGAACAAAGAAGTAAAAGCACAAAACTTGAGAACACTTATCTCAAACTCCACAACGTATACAAAGCTCATGAATTTTGATTAGACACGTGTTCAAGCTTTTATCTGAAACCTAGTTACATTATTGTACATACTGTTGGAGTGAATGGACAACCAGCAGTTTCCTACACTACTACAGGTGAAGCAACAAAGTAGCACAACATTGCTACAAGTCTATATACTGAGGGCACAGAAAAAAGAAAACCACTTGCAGCATATGAGACAGATAAACTATTTTATGTTTAAAAAAGGCATACGTAAAACACACCAGCCTCAATTCCAACTCTTAGTCGCCCTATGGCACAGAGAAAACAGATCCTGTGGGCTTCAGAGACTAGAGATCTTTACAGGAGCTGACAGCTCGATCTTTTTCCCCAGGGGGATCTGGTGAGTTCAACCTGCTGACCTTGCTCTTGCAGTTTGCAGCCCACTAAGTCACCAGGGTTCATATCAAGCCCTATATTCCAGCATGATGCCATTTGTCATAAAAATAAACTACTTGATATTATCATTATATCATAAAACCCATGAAAAGAATATGTTCACGATGATGATAACCCTGAATCAAGAAGAATATCAAATCATATTCAGGATACATTATTTCAGAAAATGGAAGCACATGACACACGTTTTACTTTAGGATTTTCTGAACTATAAAAATAATAAGTGCACATGGTAGAAAACAGAAACGCTTGAAAAACAAGTACAATATGTTTAAGAATGATTCAACCAGAATAATTAAAATTCCTAAGTTCAGATATTTAAATCATTAACCTCAGTGTATCTACGAAACTAATTCCCAGAGGGAGTCAACTAGCTAATTTTACTATGCACAATGCTGATTATGTGGGGTGGAAATACCAGTAATAGAACATTGCTATTACTGCCGAAAGAACAAGCGGATCTGTCTTGGAGAAGTACGGTCAGAATGCTCTTTAGAATCAAGAACGGCACGATTTCATCTCACATACTTGGGATATATGCTCAAGGGCAACGGAAACGGGGAAGACCCTTGACGAGAAGGATGGACACAGTGGCTTAACCGTAAGAACAATTGGGAAGACGGCGCGGGATGGGCACTGTTCAGTTCTGTGTGCATCGAGTCACCGTGAGTCGGAGTCAACTTGACAGCGCCTAACAAAGACACCTAACAAAGCACCGAATAAGAGGCAGTGGTTCAGAAGAAAACTGCATGGTTTAAAATCAGGAAGGCTGTGCGTCAGAGAAAAGGCTGGATTACTGAAGAAGAATGTGGCATCAGGATTGGAAGAAGGCTCATTAACAATCTGAGATATGCAGATGACACAACATTGCTTGGTGAAAGAGAGGAAGACTTAAGGCACTTGCTGATGAAGACCAAAGATTGCAGCCTTCAGTATGGATTACAACTCAATATAAACAAAACCAAAATCCTCACAACTGGACCAATAGGTAGCATCATGATAAATAGAGAGAAGACTGCAGTTAGGATTTTATCTTGCTTTGATCCACAATCAATGCTCATGGAAGCATCAGTCAAGAGATCAAAAGACGAGTTGCATTAAGCAGAACTGCACAAGACCTCTTCAGGGCACAGAAAAGCAAGGATGTGACTTGGGAACTCATGTGCGTGTGCCTGACCCAAGCCACAGAGTCTTCAATGGTCTCATATACACGTGAAAGTTTGACACTGAATAAGGAAGACCAAAGAATTGATGCATTCAAATCATGGTGCTGGCAAAGAATGTTGAAAAAACAAAACCAAACTCACAGCCATCAAGTC